CAGCAAAGATGTATGATCACATGTATACGTACGTGAGTGGGTAGAATCTGCATGCGGCCTATGGCAAATTATATATGTATGCTTACCCACACGTTTACCCACTGATTATCTGGTTTTTTACCCGCTCATGGTTGTCAGGGTACTTAACCGGGATTGACTGTACACATAAATCAGAGGAATATTATATATTTTCTTTAAAAAATTTCTTGACTTGAAAATCGGCAAATAAACTACGTTGTCAATTTTAGTATAATGTATTTTAATACTTCCATTTGTGAGGTTGTCACTTTTTCTATCTAATACATTTTCAAAAGTATATTCAATTTATGATTATTAGCTTTTGAAATCGTGGCGAAAAGGCGCTTCTAGCCAAGGGATGCTCGGGGAGATGTAATGACTTGTGCTTTTACGATAGCATGTTAGCGTATAAAAATACTCGTATAAGCATGTCTATTTCTGAGCATAATTTTCATTGATTTCTCAGCTCTCTTCACACATTTCCGTTAAAATTTCTCCTGCCGAGCCAAAAGTGGTGAAATCCACTAATAGTAAATTCATGGCTTTTTACAGTTCACACGCTTGTCCGTAGTTGGACCTTCTCTATTATACACGTTCTCTGCATAAATACATGGTGCTTCGAGCAATAAAGAACGGCACATAGGAAAAAAGTAAAGAAAGTAAGTGGAAACAAAAAACCAAAGTTAATTGCGTGAAAAGTTCATATTAAGTACAGTGAAAAAGAAATAACAAAACAAAGTTTATAGAACACAAGCAGTGCAGAACAACAAGAAGATACAGGTATCTCCATACATCCATACATACATATGGAGATAACTGTATTACAACGAAGCGATACATAATAGCGCATACAGCCAAAAACGTAGACCTGTGGCCCGTGTCAGCTGATATGACCTATCTTATGGCCGCGAAATGTAAGCGAACAGCGAAAAACGCTACTCCCTTCTCTCTTTGCCGTAGAATGCTGTAGTAATTATAAAAATTGTCTTCAATATGTTTGAAGTTTTCTTAAAATAGCTCAAAATCAGAGTCAAACACTACTATTTATAAATATATAAGTTATTTTTAATAGTTTGTTTTCAGTTTTGATATTTTATATTATGAAAAATGGTAATTGAAATTTTAGATGTGTACAAAAGAAAATTTGCGTGTTGAGCAATGGCAACAAATGAAAACAAAAAAAAGATGGCTGATTTCTGCGTTTTTACCCCGGGCTCAGCTTTTGATACATTTTGCTCGCTAAGGAAGGCAAAGGAAGTAAGGGAGTAGCGTTGTTCGCTGTTCCTGCTATAAATATACTTACATATATGACATAACAAAAAGTGTGGTGACCAAAAAGAAAAATAGACTAGTGAAATATACGAGTACATAAAACAACATATCTGCACAAAATTGTGTTAACATAATAAATAAAATAAAGTAAAAAACAAGGAAACGCACATCTTTTATTTACATTAATAATTCCGAAATCCCTGAGGGAAATCAGAGTGCGTGCATCTATTCTATTATATAATTGTTTTATTATTATACGTATATACATATGTATGTAATTTTACAGCAATTATCTACGACTTCAAAGTTATGACTGTCAACAGTGACACATTCGTTAGTTGACTGTCGACGCGAATAGACGTGCGTGCGCAGCGTTGCGAAATTTTCAAAGTGTTTTCAGTGATTTTCTTTTGTGCGGTTATTTGTTTACGCGATTAGCTGGCACCGTTATTGCCTGGCGCGTGTGCGTAACGGACCGTTGGAATTGTTTGTGCGTTCGTGGGGTAGTGACCGCAAGTGGTTTTGTGCGGGTACACAATTTTCTGCATTTTTGTGTACACAATCGTTGGGGCATAGCGGTAAGTAACTTTATTATTACTACCCTATATACGGACAACGTGGTCATCCACGTTGTTGTTATTGGCGGAAGCTTTGCACGGTTCCAGTGCAGCACCGTGTTGTTGGCATTTTTGCTGACTGGACTGCCTGACAGTAGTTCTGTGCTGAGCAACTGGTGTTTAGTTGGTTCAGTGTCAGGGGAGTCTGGACAGCAGTGCCCAAAGGGTGCAAACGTCTGTCTAGCGTTGGAGATTGCGACTCCTGTGAGGACCAACGGTCATAAAAGCGAACCGTTTAGCCCACGGTGCGATTCGGTTCAGCGCCACATCGGTCAACTCCGGACCGTTACGGGGACATTGTCCGTCCGGCGGCCAATTGAGTGGCCTTAATCCGACCACAGGTTGGGGTTATGGGCTGTGCCACTGCGGGCATGCTATAATCGACCGCTTGGGTGGTCACTTTTATTGAGCGGGCCTTCGCGTGGGTCGCACTTTTTCAGCGCRTTCAGACGCAGGTATCTGGCGAGCAGCTACTCCAGAATCTTTCCAGCCAAGAGCTTTCTACGCAAGTGGTACGCCAGCGGATAAGTTCGACTGAAGGGTGAGTCGGGAAGTCAGATGCCTCCTGGACGGAAGAGGAGGACGAAGACCCTCGCTAGAAGCGGAGATTCCGCCGCTTCTAAAGTCGTGGATGACTCTACGTCGGGCGGTGAAGGGGAGACGACGGTAGCGGTAAGGTCTCCATCGCGTAGTAAGGCGYGTTTGGGGTCGCCGCGTYTAGAGGACGGGAGTAAGGGAGGGAGCGGTAGTTGTGGCGGGGGTGCCAGCATGGCCACCGCTGAGAAAGAGRTTTCGCGTGCGGGGTCGGCGTGTAAAGTAAGTGGTTATAAGGGAGGGAGCGGGAGTTGTGGTGGTGGTGCCATCGTGGCCACCACCGAGAAAGCGAGCACGCGTATGGGGTCGTCGCGTGATTAGGGAGAGAGCGGTAGAGGAAACGTGGCCGCCGCTGTGAAAGTCCATCCGGCTAGCACGGTGGTGAAAGGCGTCGGTAAAGAGGGCGCTACGAAAGCGGGCACTCGCGTCTCGAGTGCCAAAAAAGAGGGAACGCGGGATGTTTCACGGGGGACAGTTGTTGTTGGGGRTGAGGCAGTCAGCCATGTGCGGCTGCCCAAAGAATCACGGGGGAGCGTAACGAGCCGAGTCTTTGAGGCCAAAAATTTTGATGTAGGGACTGCGAAGGGGCTGTTGGAGCTTGCCTCAAAATATGATTCAGTCTTGATGACGGTARTAACCGAGAATGCCCATCTTCGCGGTCACATAGATGCCCTTAGAGAAAGTTGTGGGAGACACTCCTCGACGCCGAGTAGGTCAATGCCGGCTCCGTCGGTACCGAGGCCTGCGCCTCGAGCGCCTCTCCTGGAGGCAACCGCTCCGGTGGCGCCGAAGCCTGTTGAAACCTGGTCGGTCATGGTCAGGAATAAGGGGCCGACAACTTCCTCTAAGGAAGTCATCGATAAAGTGGTCAAAGAGGTGGGTCCCTCACTTGGTATGAGGGTCCACGAAGTTAGACCAATCAACCGTGGTGGGGCGGTTATTCGTACTCCCTCTGTTCTTGAGAGAAAGAGTGTGCGAATAACAAGAAATTCGGGGAGGTGGGGTTGGACGTCTCTGTCAACCGGAAGTTGGGTCGTCGCGTTTTAGTCCAGGGGGTCCATACGGAGATTCCCCATGAAGAATTCATGGAGGAGCTACTCCGGCTGAACCTCCAGGATTTCAGCCCGGCGTCCCAAAGGTCGGACGTAAGGTTGTCAGTCGTCCCTGGAAGGTGACCTCTGACGGTAGCACCAATGTCGTCCTTGAGGGTACGGACAAGTTRATGTCCGCCCTCCTGGAGGCAGGTAGGTGCTACATAAAGTGGTTCTCCTTCTGGGTGCGACCGGATAGCCCCGTCGCTGGCTGCTTCCGGTGCATGGGATTTGACCATGGGGTGAAATAGTGTAGGGCTACAAAAGATGTCTGCCGGAGGTGCGGTCAAGAAGGCCACAAAGCTGCCAGTTGTGCGTTCAAGAGGAGACCAGCTGGGCATCTTATGATGTCAGCTGCCTGCCCTATATATTGTGGTCTTGTTGAGCGCGCCCTCGCCAGACACTGATGGGTGGGATCATCCAACTTAACTTTCAGGACTCCTATACCGTGATGTGTGAGTTGAGGGGTTGTATGGTTGAGGGTGGGTGCGGTATTGCTCTACTCCAGGAGCCCTACGCCACCAATGGTGTGGTTCGGGGTCTCCCTGGGGGTTTTAAGGTCTTCACTGACCTTAGAGCTAACGCCGCAATAGTTGTGAATAATCCACGCTACGATTGCGTAGTTGTGGATTCTTCAAAACTGGGTATATGTTTAGCTATAGAAGGGGAGTTCGGTAGGATGATTGTCGCTAGCTTATATTGTAAATATAGCGAGCCCCTAGAGCCCTACCTGGGCTACATTTATAARCTACTACTACTTGCGAGTAGTAGCCCATTTATCCTAGGGCTGGCTGCGAATGCCTCGTCCTCGATGTGGTTTAGTAAGGTATCCCGGCATTCGCCTGGATACAAAAGCTAATAGCCTCCACATTTTGAATGAGCCGAGCGAATGGTATACGTTCGATGGGCCTGGGGGCGTGAGCGACATTGACGTGACGCTTATGAATGGATGGGGATTGAGTGATCATAATTTGATTCAAATTATGGTTACCCCTCAATCCTCTCCCTTGCCTTATGAGAGTCCATTGCGGCGATGGCGTACCTCTGGTACTGACTGGAACCAATATGGACTCTCCGTTAGGGCAGCGGTATCTTGTATACCGCTTAGGGAGTTTGAGGAGTTGGGGGTGGACGAGCTGCTTAAGGGCAGATCGTCACCGCTTCGTCCACCGATTGTCCGTGTGAATGGGGCCAGCAAGTCAAATAYCTGATATCAATATCATCGGCACACGCCAGCAGCTGTGCACTCTTAGAGAAGATTGTCCCTTCTCTATTTAGTTCTGCAGCTCGAATTATTTTCTCCAGAAGCAGGTTGAAAAAGTCACACGATAAGGAATCGCATTGTCTGAAACCTCGTTTGGTATCRAACGGCTCAGAAAGGTCCTTCGTTCGTTGAAAGCAGCTTTGAAATCGACGAAAAGGTGGTGGGTGTCGATTCTCCTTTCACGGGTCTTTTCTAAGATTTGGCGCATGGTGAATATCTGGTCGGTTGTTGGTTTTCCAGGTCTGAAGCCACATTGATAAGGTCCAATCAGTTTGTTGACGGTGGACTTTAATCTTTCACACAATACGCTCGATAGAACCTTATACAATAATGTATGCAATATTGAGGAGGCTTATCCCGCGGTAGTTGGCGCAGATTGTAGGATCTCCTTCTTTGTCGATTGTACACAGCACACTTAGATTCCAATCGTTGGGAAAGCTTTCATCTGACCATATTTCACAAACAAGCTAATGTAGACTTCTTATCAGTTCTTCGCTGCCGTGTTTGAATAGCTCAGCCATCAATCCTTCGGCCCCAGCCGCTTTATTGTTCTTCAGGCGGGTAATTGCTATTCGAACTTCTTCCTGGCCCGGCAATGAAATGTCTGCTCCATCGTCATCGATTGGGGAGTCGGGTTCGCCTTCTCCTGGCGTTGTGCGTATAATTTAAGTATGCTCTGGGCATCGATGACTAGATCAGCTTTAGGGGCTCTACAAGACTATGCTCCGGTCTTGAAACATTCTGTAAGTCGCCGCATTTTTTCGTAGAATTTTCGAACATTACCACTGTCGGCCAGCTTATCAAGCTTTTCGTACTCACGCATCTCGGCCAGTTTCTTTTTCTGTCTGCAAATGCGTCTCGCTTCCCTCTTCAACTCTCGGTATCTATCCCATCCCGCATGTGTTGTGGTCGATCGTAACATAGCGAGGTAGGCAGCCTGTTTTCCCTCCGCTGCGACACGGCACTCCTCTTCGTACCAGCTGTTCTTTTTCACTTTCCGAAAACCAATGGTTTTGGTTGCATCTGTACGTAAAGAGTTTGAAATGCCGTCCCACAGTTCCCTTTTACCGAGTTGTTGACGAGTGCTCTCAGAGAGCAGGATTGCAAGCCGAGTAGAAAATCATTCGGCTGTCTGTTGTGATTACAGCTTCTTGATGTCGAACCTTCCTTGTGTTTAAAGGCGTGCGGTTTTTACTGCACAGAGGGGGGTGCGAWTCTTGGCTGAAACAAGATAGTGGTCCGAGTCGATGTTAGGACCTCGGAGCGCATGCACATCTAAAACACTGTAGACGGGTTATTACTAACCGCTTTTATTAAACGGGCTATATATATACATATATCCACAATCTACAATACAAAAATAAGTCGGGTTTTTTCTTCCTGACGCTATAACTCCAGATCGTATGAAACAATTTCCACGGTTTTGCATTCGCTACATTTAACAGAAAATCGGAAAAATCTTTTTTTTTTTACATACAACGCCATCTCTGATATATATCATATACTACAAACCAATATTTTAAGTAGATGGCGCCGGTGCGTGATACATTGTTTGACAGCTACTCATTGTTCTCTACTCATTATTAGTTTCCTAACATTTCAATTGGAAACCATCAAATCAATCACGTGTATTGTGCAAATTTTTATTCAGTTTCAACACCAGGCATTTGTGTTTAAGGTGGTAAGTTGAACTGTGTAAATTATGTGGATCGTGCATTTGAGGTTAAATTCACCACTCTGTCCATAGTCCAAAATGCCTAGCGGACGACGTGCGAACATCGACCGCCGCACAAGACATGCAAGCCAGCAACAAGTGTATTCTCAGAACTTAAGTGAAGAAAGACAAAATATAACAAGAGAAAATGCCCAATTGAGACAACGCGTGAGGACACGAAGATCATTGGCATCATACAATCGCTTGGCATTCCAATATGATATCACTGCTAGCTACAGTGATGATGAAAATTTCGATATTGGACCAATGACGATATCGCAATGCGTTAAAGTTCAAAAGAGAAACGGCTGGATTATGCTGCGCAAGCGAAAAAGGCAAACTGGATCCATTATTTACACCACCACAGCCACTGAAACCATTGTTCGATGGTGATCCCGATTCCAGCCATTTTCTTCAACACATACTTTAATGCCTGACTTACTTTCAAGCTAATATCATTCGGGATGGCGGCTTCATGCCGACTTACAAGGTAAGATATACAATACACATAACCAGTCACTCACACCAACCCAATGAATTGCAGCACATAACAACTACATGTACACACACCATTACATGATCAGAAGTTACACCGTATCCTTCCACAATTGATTGTTTGCAATTACAGATTCAAGGACAAATATATCATTTCCATGGTTCACCGGTGCCAACACCAGATAAACCGAATAAATTTCTGCAAATATATTTCATTTCGTCGATGGTGGATGAGCTGAATGTACGGTGCAATATACAGGGAACACAATAGTTAAGGGACCAATTATTGAACAGTTGCAAGGATTTTTCACGCTAGTAATGATGTGGTTAATATGTTCAAAACAGCATTGGGACGAATGACATCGGATACGCACAAATTTTTTTTAATACCTTTATGCAGCATGGTGCTTCTTGGAAATTTTTATAATTTTTGTTTTCGGGATTTGCTTTTGCAATTAAACCCGTGGTTCTTTGTGTATAAGCGCTTCTTTGTGATAATATTGGATATCTGCTGTAATGAAGCATAGAGTTGTATCTTCTGTGACGATATAAGCAGTTAAATTTGCTTTTGCAATTATTAAGATTGTGTGAGTGGGACAAGCAGTTTGTACAGAGTCTTTTTGATCTGACRAAGTTTTTCCTTTGATTAACACTCAATTTTTTAAACTTCTCGAAAGTTTGAAGCTTATGCCCTCTTGTGCATAGTTTGCATGACATGATTTMTTTTTGCAGATGCGAACGATTGCTTTTTGTGAAAGTTTTTGTTTGAATTGTTTTTGTTACTAACTTGGGGTCTATTTAAGCTTCCACTTTGGTCGTGTTTAATGTTTTCAGTTTTTGAATTTTTTTCTTCTAACCTTTCTGAAATTTAATATTTGGTGGTGAGAAAATCTTTCATTTTTTTGCCACGTTGGGCACTTTTTTCGTGATGAGAGCGATCGCTCCCATAGAAGTAACGATTTTTCTGGTAATACAGCGTTACATATACTATATTTACCAGAATAGGGTCCCAGCTAACTGTGGGATCATTAAGAGCGAACTGTTTTACTATGACGCCTGCTTGACCTTTTGTCTTGTATAGTTGGTGATAMAATTTTTGTGCTTTTGATAGTTCTGGATGGTTGATGTGAACGGCTGTAAACATGTCCCGGAAGGACGGTCATTCTTCATTACCTCCATAAAATATTTCCGTGTCACATGCAGGCACCTCGAGGTGATCTATTTGTGGCAGCTCTACTCTACTGTGGGGAGTAAGTGCAATTACTTTAATGTGCTTTAGTTGACCGGAGATCATACCTTTTGTTTATTCGTACTGGTCTAAGCAGTTTCTCATATAAAATATCTGTAAGCAGATATTTTAAATTTTGTGGTAAATCTGAAGCGTCAGA